TTGCCAACTTTTGTGAATCAGCTCAGCAAAAGCTGGGAATTCTACGATGCAAACTAAAACAGGCTTCTCCAGATGTAAAGCTTAAAGCTTACACTACGGTTGTTCGACCTACCCTGGAATACACGGGTATAGTGTAAGACCTGTACCGACCAACTCTAATAAATCAGATTGAGTGAGTGCAGCGTTTTGCGGCATGCTTTCTTTTTTCCAAGTACAGAAGAACTGAATCCATCACTGCACTGATTAATAAGGCAAACCTTCTACGTTTATCTTCATGCAGGAAAATAACAAGACTGAAATTTCTTTATAAACTGTATCATGGTATGCTAGACATCGATCGCACACTCTTCTTGCGGCCTCCAGGCAAGATATCTCCTCGATCCTCACAACTTCATGTTGTGCGACCCTACGTATCCAGAGTTGATGTCTGCAAGCATTCTTTCTTGGTGAAGACAATTGAAGACTGGAATAAGCTAAGCCCACAAATATTTGATGGTGTGATTTTGCTCGAGAGTTTTGATGAAAAACTGAATTCACTGGGTGTAAAACATCGAAATTCTTATGTATAACTGCGGTGCTGTTGTTTTGTATAAATTTTTGTTTGCGCTGTGTATAGCTGTATGTATGTGTTTTTTTTTGTTTGCATTGTGCTGTTTGTGCTATGCTGTTAGTATGTTTTTATAATATTTGCATTTAAATTTTCTGTATTGTAAACTGCCCACCCTGTAACAGCCCGATGGGGCTAACAGTATTGAAAATAAATAAAGAAAGAAAAGCCTGATATGATAGCGTCAAGAGCTTTTAACAGACAACAGAAGCACACTGCACGGCCGTTCACGGCCACCTCACGAGGAACCCCCTTCAAGAGTGAGGTGCGGGAGCCAAGAAACGTCACCACACCGACTATCTCCTAAAGCGCGTGCGTATAGCACTAAGCGAATGGTACTGATAACACCTCTCCACGCTATAAACTACATGTTACTAACACGGTCATGTTGATCAGTTCCATTTTTTTATATAATATCGTACGTCATCTCCGTTGATGAAGAACTCCCGATAATACTTCGACTTGCGAGTGCCACCCGCGCATTGACTCGCAAAAGAGCTCGTATCGCACAGCACAGGTAAGAAACTCAAGAAAGAAAATGAAGTCACACTGTGGAACAGCGGCCTACCGAAACACCGATCAAACATAAAGCTAAGCCTTAAAGCTTGTGTAGCCTAGAGCCGGCATGCAGCAACGCCTCTTAAAGCGCTCGTTGCGGGTTTCGATTACAAAATGTAGTAGTGGCAAAGAACACTGTGCCACATGATCGCCGACGCATCATGAGTCGCAAATAAAGCACCAAGGTGCCCGTTAATATCGTTTAAAATGGTTTGATGCGCGTTTTGTCACCACAGCGGTTCTGTCACTATGTGCACACGCCGGAGCATCCAGGAAACGCATCGCATGCAGAGAAATGAGTCCAAGTTCACAGTTACTCGCTCACGGCAAACACGCACGCATAGGTGACCGCACGCAGCAGCATCGACATAAAAACTGCAGCGACCAGAGAAACACATTATGCACAACAAAGAACTGGAAAGTCTACTACTCTACGCTCGCCACTCGACATTGTTTTTCGCTATGCCACAATGACACCAGAATACACAGCCTAGCTAGTAGAAGCAGCACGCTCGATGCACAGGAGCACATTTTTTTAGGGTCACACATATTTACAACAGTTTTATATATAGAAGGAAGTCGACGATTGAACGAAATCTCGTCTGGTCGGGATGTAATGGCATTGAGAGGCCGAAGCTTCCAGCTTAAATCCGCTAAAATAATCACTTGAGGCATCTTGCATACGTCAGAGGTAGATTGCCGGCGTTGCAGTTAAGCCTGTTCCTCGTTGTCTGGATAGTTAAAGATTCCAGATAGTGCTGTTTTGTGTAGTTCTTTTCTTGGGCGATGACAGAAGCACAGTCCCAGTCGAAGCAGTGGTGCATTTTTTCTGCATGCTCTGAGACACCACTGGAAGAAACTTTTTTATTTTTCACATCGTTCATGTGCTCTCTCAGAGGTCGTTCAAAATCTCCGCTTTCACACACATAGACATATTCGCAGTCAATGCAAGGAATTTTATAAACAACCCTAGGAAACTTTTTATTTTTTAGTTTGTCCTTGACGCTGATGAGCTCATGACGTAGCTTGCGGCTAGGAATATGGGCGACTTGCAGTTTGTATCCACGCAGGACACGTGCTAATGCCTCCCTGATGCTGCGAACCTACAGAATGGAGGAGCGACAATGGCTGAGGGAATCACGTGGCTCAGTCGGGCGTAGGGCCTGTTTCTCGGACGAAGCAAGAAAACTTCTGGTGTACTTGCAGGCGCCGAGTTAACGACGGATGCATGCTAAGTTGGAGTCAAAGCCCTCTGACTTACTGCAAATTCTTTGAGCCATTTTTATTGAAGAAAAGGCCACGAACCGTTTGTGGTGGCTGACAAGGTTGACCAACCCAAAATGAAGATACCGCCCACTATGTGTGTCCTTCCTATGAACACTGAAAGACAGACGCTGTTGGTCCCGCTGTACCATTACGTCAAGAAAAGGTAGACGTCCAGATCTTTCCTACTCCACGGTGATAGCTTCCTCAATGCTGTTCAACTGGTTGTTGAATGCGGCTAGGGTGTTTTTTTTTTATGATACAAAAGCAATCACTAACGTATCGGAAAAATACTTTCAGAGCAGGGTCGAAGGAAGTCAAAACCCGGCTTTCACTGACTCCATATCCAAGTTTGCCGCAGTTATGGAGATTGACGCCCCCATAGGGGTTCCATGCAGCTGCTCGTAAATGACCCCACAAAAAATAAGGTAGGTAATATTCAAACAGAAATCTAGTAGCCCTGCGAGAACTTGCACTTCAAACACAGTGCATTCACCCAGTTTTTCATCAGCCTGCAGGGTGGCTTCACAGGCGCTCACAGCAAGTGCCACAAGAACACAGGTGAAAAGGGAGACGACATCAAATGACACCATGATTTCATCGTCGTCCACAGTGAGATGGTGCACCTTGTCAATGACGCCTTGTGACTTATGGACAAATGTGCGTACACTTTGCAGCAGTGAGACACACACATGGTGAAGGTAACTCGAAAGTTTGCGAAGCGGCGACGCAGGAAACCCACGATGGGCCGCATTGGAGTACCAGACTTATAAATTATAGGTAGGCGTTACAGTGCCGGGGCGAAGCCTTTGTGGCTAAGAAGCGAAAAATAAAGGTCCTTGTGTAGCGGATAAGCGCCATAACCTTTAGGCCACCGTGGCAACACTTGTACAACAACATGCTAACCATGTAGTAAACAATTGGTAGAAACCAACTTGCCTACATGCCTACGCAACCCCACATTAAGAAAACACACTGGGAAGCCGCCTTGAACTAGTTCAGACAGGCAAAGCGATATCTTAAGAATCTATATTGATGTCTTCCCTAGAAATTAATCTATCAATCATCATATACAGCAGGCTCCAGTTAAACAAAATAACCTGAAGGAACAAAAAAATGAGTTTCGTTCACCGAGGGTCTACTGCATTCAATTTTTTTTAGAGTTAAATTTAACTTTTTCTTAATGCCTATTTTTTTTAAGGTGTGTACTACCCTCCCTGTTCACAGATGACTGCATTGTTTTAAAAAAAAATTCGTTAACCGAATGATCATGCACTGTTGCAATAAAACCCACATGCTCTTGGGGACTGGTGCATTTGATGGGGCATGAAGTCAAACAGTAAGAAAAGTGTACTTCTGCATATTACAAGAAACAAAATGCCTAGTACGTTCACTTGCACTATTAACAGCGTGATATAAAGAAGGTAGACAAATGTAGATATCTGGGTGTCATTATCAACAACAAACTAACCTGGTCATCACACATATCGGCTACTTGTATCACTGCGCTGCACAAGTTGTGGTTTCTGAAAAAAAAAAAAAAACTAAAAACTGCACCTCCTAACTTTAAGCTTTTAGCTTATAAAACTTGCGTTAGGACTACATTGGAATATGCTTCAATTGTATGGTGCCCCACAACAAAGGTGATGTTGCAGAACTAGAGCAGGTTCAAAGAAAAGCAGTGCGCTTCATATTTATTATGTACAGAATGACCGACTCACCTTCTCCATCAATGAAGCAATACATCATCTCATCGTTATAATCTCGCGGGAACGTCAATACGTTGATATTTCTTCATAATTGTCTCACCCAAAATGCAAAAGTAAACATCCCTGATTGTGTACATTCCCACGCAGCTAAGAAGACTAGACACAGTAGGGCACTTGCCCCAATTTTCGCTAAAACAAAATCGCACAAACAGAGCTTTTTCCCAGAACTGTGTCCGAATCGAATACACTGCCCTCCACTGTTCTTGATGCCAATGATTTTGTATGCAAACTGCAAAATCTGTATTATTTATCATAACTGTACTTGACATTTTTTCTTGCATCCCCATTTTCTGATTTTTATTTTTTTATTATTTTTTATGCTGTGATTGTGATGTTTTCTTTTTCCTTTATTCTGCCATTATTGTACAACCCCTCCTGCATGGACCACGTGGTGGTCTGCAGTATTGCTAAATAAATTATAAAAAAAACCTGGACTCTATGGAAAAATGCAATTACGCAAACTGGGAATTCAGGGTTGTTTTTCTGTTCGGTTTCAAAGCACTATATTTATTATTATATATAAATAACAATAAAACCTAGTACGTATTTTTCTAAAACCAAAAAGGCTGCCATGGCAAAACAGGTGTCCCCTTCGAGTTTTTTCTAGGTTTACACAACAGATCACCACAAATGCCATGCTGAGTGGTGTAGGCTGAGCATGGCATTGGCTTTCCTTGTTGACTTCACGTTGCATGGGAATAACAATCACACTCACTGTCATGGTTAGAGACCGCTTCGGTGCTGCAGTAACCCAGTCTGTGATTTTCCTATCTCACTGCATCAACCTTTGAGCAAAAGGATACAGTGCCCGAAATGTCGATTTTTACAGAGCCAGTTGTGTCCTCAAGGAAGTAGTTGCCCTGTTGGAGAAGATATAGAGGGTAAGATTAGCTGAGGGCAACTGCACTGTCAGTAGAATTCCCGAGACCATTCAGAAAATCACGATGCAAAGCGACCATAAATACGGCCTTAGCTTACCACTCTCACTTTCAACACAATATTAAAAAGGCGTTCAACTGATATTCCGACAAAAAGGCATAAAAACTTAGTTGCAAAGAGTATAAGACTGAATATATAGCACACACAAACACTGCATGCTGCCAGCACAAAATATGGTAAGTCTTAAAGTTGAATTGATAGAAAAAGAAATGAATTAGAAGATCATGTGAAGTCGCAGTTCCCAGGCCCTGGCCTGAAGCTGTTGGAAGGTGCGGACAACAGAAGAGGCAGATGCAGGGAGGGAGCACCTTGTTGCATGGCATGCTACATTGGCAGTGAAGGAAAGCAAGCAGTTGCTTATCTGAGACAGATTGAGCGGTGTGAAAGCACAGGACATAACAGACGGGCTTCCCCACTTCTTTAGTGTACGCATTCTTGAGCAGGGTGGGCAAGGCTCTCCTCAAGAGACAACATAGCTGAAACACAAAACAAGTCGGTGGCTACCCCCTGAAATAACATCACCATCATCATCATCAGCCCGACTACGCATACTGCAGGGCACGTTCCGTCAATCAACTCGGTCCAGCGCTTTCTGCTGTCACTCATAAACTTCTCATTGCCATCGACCTACCGAATTATGTGTCTCCCCCTCACGCATTCGCCTTCTTTTGGAATACAGTGACTGAATGACTGAATCAACTGAGTTGATTCCCAGAGAAAGCAAGTAGACGACGAAGAGGCATAAAGTTAGGTGGGTGTTGTATCGCTGCTGGATGCACCATATGACTTAGACAATGGGCGCGTTATCGCCAGAGAGATGTAAGGAGCGTCAGGCTAGGCTGAGAACGGGAAGGGGACTCCCTATTCAGAGAGTGCGCATCAGGACGTAGCAATGGTTACACAATACAGCCATTGTGTGGCACTATGCGACTATCCCGCAAAACCAAAACTGATCGGAGGTCCATGACTATGAGATTAGTATTTTTGAATTGGGGACATGAAATGCCCGACACCACATCTTTTCCTAGAAAGGAAAGTAGACGTAAACTCTTGCGTACTTGTACAAGAGAACGCGGATGAATTATACAGAACCAGCGCTACAGTATGCAATCACAGTTGTTTTGAGCATTATACAGCAGCAAGGCACTGAAACTGACATATACATGCATAAGATAGACTAGTAAAACTACGTTTCCCTGTGCATGGCCACAGTGATGTAGAGTATACCACTGGTACAGGAAATAGATGTGAAACATCTTGCGTGGTGTCAATACAAAAAAACGGCAGAAAATCTGCCTCTAACGCAGATCACGTAGCTGTGGAAGACAGGCAAAAGATCCTTGATGTGAACACTGCAGTCAGCCAAAATGTCTTACCCAGGGAAATTGAAAATGTGCCCATCGTGAACGGCTTTCTCAATAAACCCACAGTGATTGCACTCCGTGATGCTGACCGAGACACGGTAGCGCTGCGACAGACAGTAGTGTTGAAGAAAAACCTTACCGGAACATACTGTCCAGTATTAAGCGCGAGACAGACGTGCGATTTACCGTGCGATTTTCCGTGCCATGCGGCGTGCGGTGCGACGATGTGACAGCTGGAGTGGTGACGTTTCGTGACGTATCATCGCATCGCCCCACCTCGAAGCCGGTGCGGCGACATCAAACCGGCCAGATATTTTCGTCGTTGCATCGCACCGCCGCATGGCAGTAGCCAATCACAGCACGAGCATACGAGTGGCGTCACAATGCTAGTGGCGCCATCTCCCTGTCGCCGCTCCCATCACCCGTGGTCCAAGGCTCCAGGCGAGTCGATGGAGCGGTGCCAGCTTGGATTTACTGACATCGCCGACTGCGGCGGCGTGACAAACATCGAGTACATTTCCCTGGTGACGTGATATTATTCCGGGTTGAATAAAGTGATGCTTGAGGTGTGCCTTTCCTGCACGACAACGCTCGTTTTGAAACCGATAGCGAGATCGGAGATCGTGAGCAGCGATGCAAGGTCATTTCGCAGGTAAACACGGCTACCGGCGTCTCTGCGCTGGCTCGCTTCGCTTCCACCTTTGCTCTTCACATCAATGGCATCGATAAGGTAATAATGTATGCTAACGCATTACATACGAGCGCAATGCTTGATAGTGTTGTCGAAAACAAGCGCTCGATGACGGGCTCGCGTGTGAACAGCGTAGGCGACGGCCGGCGCCCTCGATGCTAGGCCTACCTGTCGGAGTCGTGAATAATCAACTGTTGCCGCGGTTACGACGTGCTTGTCGTTCACGAATGCGATTTATTTATTTTTATACAATGAAGCGTGGCTGTGCGATGTTTGTTTTAAGCCTCATTGCAAGGATACCAAGTCGTTCGACCCTGAATGGCGAGGCGCCGCATGGGGGCGGAGCCTGCCGCTGATAGCTCCTTTGCCCTCGTGTGTCCCAAAACGTCGCATGCGGCACGCCACACCATGCGCCGCCGCACGCCGCATCGCACGGTAAATCGCACGTCTGTCTCGCGCTATATTCCTGGACCGCACAGTACACTACCTACCAGAAGCAGTGGTCTTTCTCAATACGCCTATTTTCAAAAAACAAGTTCGTGTGTACTGCCTCCGTGCCTCACTTTATGATGTCTTTGGAAACATCAGAGGACCCCTATTTACTGGACACTTTGAGCAAGATGGCCAACAAGACGGGCAATTCCAGTCGACGCGCGAACATCGAGGAAATGACGCCGAAAAAGTCAAAAGGTCATCGGGGAAGGCAACGACATCAGATCACCGTGAGTGAAGCCGCCAAACCATCACGTGTATTAAGGCCTGGGCCCAGTGACAGCAGTGCTATGGTAGCAGACAGCGACACCCAGGTGGCATGCGCGATGCGATGACAAACAAGGGCACATTCAGATGGATCTTCACTACTTTCAGCCTTGCCATGGCAGAAATAATGACCAGATAGGACGCGTTTCCACAGTATAGTAGCCCCACAAGATGACATGTGGTCGTCTCTGCATACATGGTATGCAGATGTGCGGTAGTACATATAACTGCCAACCATTTTCAAACGTGCGAAAAGTACGTCGACCTCCCATAATAGAGAGTGTGAAAAGTATACCGCAGCGTTTTGGGACAGATGCTTACAATGTGGACATTTCTGCAAGTGTCAGTGGTTCTGTTATTGTTGTGTTCCGTTGTGTCGTGTCCACAGTAAAGTCTTCCACAGCACAACGTACTCAAAGTTGGGGGAAATGTAGTAAGAAACTGGTACCTAGTGTAGTAAGATCAACGTTCAACGTGTAGATCAACGTGTAGATCAACGTGTAGCAAGATCAACGTTCACCATATAAACGCGCCTTGCGGCGCGTTTATATGGTGAACGTGTGAGCTGGCCAGGACGATCTGCTGATTGGGGCCAGATGAAGTCAGAGACCGACCAGCTACAAAGTCTGTCCACGGTGCTGAGTCTGCTGGGGCCTGGCACTACCGCAAGCTGAGGGCACGCCCTTGGTGCCACGTGTAGGCTCGCGATCTGGCACAACCGACTGCAGCGTGGTAGACCAAGCGTTACGCAGATTCATCGGAGCGTTCCAGTGTCGGATGAGTCAGCACGGCTCTGTCTCCTGCTTCAAGCGTGCGTCGACTACATGGCCATCGGTTCCATGAGTGTCTTCTACGAATGATAGTTACCGAACAAGTCAGGGCGTGTAGAGATACTTGTAGGCTACGGGACCGTAAAGACTGGAAACGTAACTGTGTTGTACTGTTCGGCTATCTATTGAAAGTGTGTGTATTTGTGATCATATTCGTGTTGTGCATAAATGTTTTCTTTTCCGTGAACTTGTCTGTGTCTGAGAGCCCATGAACCACTTCACTTACTAGCCATGTTCCAGACCTTAGCCTGCTGTGTATAGGAATGGACGACCGGTAAAAGTCCCTACTGGCCGTCCCTACTAGTAAAAAGTCCCTACTTTCCCTACTGACCGGTCGGTATGCTCTGCTTTTCTGGGACTTCATTTTGCTAAAGATGTCAAGATTCTCAGCTGTCGGTAAACACCAAAGCAACCTTCATGCTTTGTTTTGCTGTTTGCAAGGATTTTGACACTCTGTGTTCTACCATGGGACACACACTTTTTTCGTAGTCCAGATGTTTGCATGATACACTTATTTGCAGCATCAGTAAAATAAACAATCAGGTATTGCACAGCTGCGACTATGCTTCAACATTATATGTCAGTCCTAATTATCTTACAAAACTGGTCCCAAGTGGCTTTTTCAATGAGCCGTTTGGAAACATGTGGAGGACATTCATTTGATAAAAATGTGCTCAAGACTAAAAAAAGTGGTCACTTCCGTAGAGACTACTGATGACCCTCTATGTGAGTAAGGATAGAAGTGATGGAGACAATGCTTTGGTTTATCGACAAGTAGGTATTGTTAGCGAGACTGTCATATGTAGGCTCTTTTCGATTCAGGAGACAAGCGACACAAGAAAAATGAAACAGTTCAATCGGGCAACCTAGCACATCCCAGCGGGAGTCACCCCATAGACTGCTATGTGCGTTGAAGTCTTTAAGAAGACGATATGATTCTGGAAGTTCGTCGATTAATGACTGGAATTCCTGTTATTTGATTTCGTCATGTGGAGGTATGTAAATAGAGCAAATTATGACCAGTTTGTTGAAGAGGATGACTCAGACGGCTACTGCTTCAAGGGATGTCTGAGGCGGTAAATGTACACAGGCAGTTCCTTGATTAACTACAATAGCAACACCACAGGATGATGTGACAGCATAATCCCAGTCCTTTCGAAAAATAACACAATGGCATAAAGGGTTCATGTGTCTGAGCTTCAGCTGTGTTTATTGCACAAAAAGCCATTTTGGTGCATCGTCATCTAAATGTGCTTGGATATCATCAAGGTTTCTGAGAGATCCTCTGACGTTCCACTGTAGTACCTGTGTCTCTATTTTAATGTAGTGTGGTGCTGTGTGTACAAAAAGTGTTGGTTGAGGTTACCAACCTTTAGGGTGGCCTTGTAATGCTGAGTTTTTCTTTTCTGGTGGGCTACAAAGATCTGCGTGTCCTTTGGCATCTCAGGTGCCAGAGGATTACGACTTGTACTTGTATCCGCCACCTTTTCTGAGGTGACGGATGGCGCGTGCTCGGGTTGTGCGGTCACAGCGATTTCCGACCTAGCTGCGATACCAGGGACCAGGGGTCCGGCAGACTCGGGAGCCTGCTGGCCCTGTTTAATAGGGGCGGAACAGTACAGGCTACTTCAGTTGGGGGCGCTGTTACTGCAATCGCAGTCACACTCCATGTGGCACTCGCCAGCTCAGAAAGACGCGGCGCGGAACTCGGCACATCACATCAACGAAGGACAGATTGGACTGTTTATGGGCTGAGAAGTGTTTGCGGGTTTCTTAAAAGGAGAGATTGAATTTGATTTCAAGCTCTAGGATTTTTCTCTTTTTTTCCCCGATGGACACAATCGTGAGTAGGCGGGGTGGTCTCTTTCACACTTTGTACAATGAGCTGCTAAAGAGCAAGTGTCTGATGTGCGTTCATTGGATGCACATTTCACACAAGTAGCGCACCCTCTGCAGGTTTGCAATCCATGTCTAAAGTGCTGGAATTTGAAACACTGATGAAGGGTTCGGTACATAACAGGAAACTTACAATAACCGACCTTAATTAGGGGTGTGTGAATTTTCGGAAGTTTTGAATATTTTTCGAATATTGCATTTGTAATATTCCTATTCGATTCAATAACCACATATTTGAAAATTTCGAATATTCAAACTAACTTCAATATTCCTCGAACATTCCATGTTCACGATTATTTGTTTGCATACGTCCCTGTGAAGAACTTGCGATTTTGTGCATTTGCTATAAGAGCCTCAGTAGATCATGGAGTGATTAGTACTACTTCGGCGTGAAGGCGGTGATGCCTGCATGGAAATTCACGAGAACCTGATGACGACTACCGACGTATGCGGCAGCACCTCATGGCGAAAAACCCACCAACAATAAAAATCTCAATCAATCTGATTGGTATGTGTGAGTATGTGTATGTGTATGAGGTATGTGTGAGTGGTATGCGTTACTTTGTTTTCATTAATTGTTCCTTTTTCAATTGCTTGATATGTGGAGTTTAACATCCCAAAACCACCATATGATTATGAGAGACGCCGTAGTGGAGAGCTCCTGAAATTTCGACCACCTGGGGTTCTTTAACGCGCCCAAATCTGAGCACACCGGCCTACAACATTTTCGCCTCCATCGGAAATGCAGCCGCCGCAATCGGGATTCGATCCCGCGACCTGCAGGTCAGCAGCCGATTACCATAGCCACTATAACACCACGTCTCAATCAATCTAAGTCACGTACTGACTGCACGACAGTACGTGTGGCTTAGTAGTTTAGTACTATTACGGTTCATGTAAGCGTATCGACTACAGTGACTACTGCCGCGTTCCTGTGTCCAGGCCCACAAATGTGTTTCACTCATGAAAACGAAGGCAACTCAATGCTGCTGCATTAATGCTGCTGTATAGCCACAGCAGTTTTCCCCAATGGAACCCCGTACAAATGGACGCGCACATGTCAGAGCCTGACGAGTTGTCTGTGAACTGTGCAGCTACACCGAAGGAGCGCAGCTTTGTTACTTCATCTGGTCGATCGCGTCTCTCGAATGCCCTGACCTAATGGGAATATATGTTACACCGCGGTTTACGGTTAAGTTCGGCGCACTTGGATTTATTGATGACCCAAACTGCAGATAGCCAACGTGGCTATCGTTTCTCGCTGAAATTTGCGCAACTTAGAAAATTTTGAGGCTAGCTTCGTTTGGGCAAACTTCTACAATCTCGGAAACGGTGCAAAATATTATATGGGGTTAAACAATCTTATCTCTTTGTTTCTGCACTTTCACATTTTGAAGGTTGCCGCAGTCGCCACTTCAGGGCAGGGAAATGAACATGCTCTACCGCTCACTTTAATGTGAGTAACTGAAATTGCCAAAGACTAATGAAGAGCGGCTGGTAGAAAGTTTGGAGTTGTCTAATAGAAGTGTCCAATAATCGCCTGATTTGAAAAATTCTTTCAAACATGTGGTCAAGACTTACAGCTTCTGGTGAACGAAAAGAAGCGTACCTCTTCAAGCTGGCACAGCATGCCGAGCACGACTACGCACTCGCCCGTGGTGCCCAGGAGGTGCTCAATGGGACGCAGGTCGAAGCCAGAAGCAGTGGGCAGGCGTGACCTTGACGAAAAGCAGTGGTGGCGTGCCGTCTTCTGCAGAACCAGCTGATAACGCTCACGAAAAAAAAACGCCTTTGCCCCTGCATCACCGAAGAGACGTGGAGGCCCACCATGGCCCACCAATTCCCGAGGCACAAACTTGCGCCGCTCCTGACTGGACAAAGAGCACCACAAAAATGTTTACACAGCTGCTGCAACTTTTTCAGATGTTCCAAATAATTGTGAAACCACAAAAAGCTGCTGAACTCTCATGGTATCAAATCACAACTATGCTCAAACTTTGATATAACAAATTAGCATTGGCTGGAGCCATAAGTGTGAAGCATAGTTTTGTCATAAAAACAGCACTCTGAATATATGAAAGAATTTGCAGATTATACAACCAAGCATTTTTGCGGTAGGTGTGACTGTTATTGCGAGGCTTGAGTGCAACGGTTGGGTAGTAACACTCACTTCTCTAATGAAAATGCAAGAAATTGGCTTGCTTATTGTACTATTTGTGTTAACATGGTGTTTTGTCTTCTTTATGTTTTTAGTAGCACCTGAAATGCGTCAATCACAAAAATCTTTTCAGAGAATGTATTTCAAATTTTTATCACTAACAGTGGTGGAAGTGGCTTTTGGCATTTCGGAGCAGGAAAAATGGAAGTTTGAAGCAAGAATTAGTGTGCTTGGAGCCCAAAAATGTCCTGTTTGTAGCAAGCTAACTACTGTTTGGAGCAGTCTCACCGCAGCAGGTAGGTACCGATATGTGCATAGAACACGAAAAATAAATTTTATTTTAAAACTAATTGCATTTATTATTGATCATATATTGCACTTAACAAATTGACCAACTAAAATATGAACACATTTACTGAACACACAACATTTGCAGAATGCCTGCCATTTTTGCACTATTAGGTATCATTTTACAGTTATTACAATGCAATACTATCACAGAAAAGCTCTCACATGAGTCTTTAAACAGAGTACTTCAGCTCTAAAAAAGAAGTAAACGCCACAGTGAAATTCACATGCAAACCTCATAACTGAGACGAGTCCTATAGGCGCGCACAGCTTTTCTTTTTCTTTGAATCTTCAAGCTTGCTAAGATTGCTAGCAAGTTTTGCCTGACCCTCCTTGAGCAATGCTTGTCCACTTTCAATATCATCAAACTTCTTAGCCTTCATCCCTTTTGCGATAAGCAGTTCTGCATTGGCTAGCATCTTCTTAACAGAATCGATATCCATCTGTATACTTCGCTGCTCATTCACTTTGCTTCCTACGGAGTCTTGGTGAAGCTTGGCTTTCTTGGCCGAGGGTTCACATTCTGCAGACACACGTTCCCGATACTTTTTAAATGAGCCCTTTACCGCTTTCATCATATCAGGCTTTAGAGGAACGGCTGAGGCATCTTGGCCATACCAGCTACAAAACGATTTAGTAGCACGCAATCCATTTACACTTGCAATTGAAAAGGTTACTTTGCTCATGGAGAAGGTGGCGATTTTCACTAAATCCCCTTTCAACGTCCCCATCGCCATGCGCAAGCGACAGCATAGATTTAACAAATTTCACTGTTGGGGGGTTCTTGGGACCACCATCTTTTGACAAGAGGCTGAATATGTGTTGCCAGCATCGTCGAGACGCTCGTGTGGATGAGAGAAAAAGTCTTCTGTGGAGAGGAGCGTTAGTTCGTCCATCAGAACAGACACTTCTGGCACTTGTGCCAAATTCCCGAGTGCCACAATGGCCTTCTCTTCCTTGACAGCACTTGGATGAATGCTCTTGAGTTCTTTAAGCACCTGATTGCCAAAGGGCTGTCTTGAAAGCAGATACTTCGCAGCCTGAAGGTAAAAGCTAAGTGCACATATTCTAAACATTTTCTTCTCTTCAAGCGTGAAAGAATTAATGGAATTTTGAGTGTCTGCACCAATTTCAACTACCTGTTTCCAATGCGCAGAGCACTTTACATTAAGGGACTAAAATTCCTCTCCTGTGAAGTCCCTAGAGATAATGTACGTAGCATGTCGAACGCTATCAGGACTTACCATAATTGGAGCGTGCTATCGCCCCCCACAACCAGACGCCGATTTTTGCAGGCTCCTTAACGACTCTCTCGACTTCATAAGCAAAAAGTATCCCCTAGCTAACCTAATAATATGCGGTGATTTTAACTACCCTACCATTGATTGGAGTGACCAATATCGCGTAACTATCGGTGAACCCGGCCAGTTCTTAAGCATCCTACAGGATTTTCAATCAACACAAATCATAACCCGAGCTACCAGACAGACCACAAATACCGCAAACATTCTTGACCTAATTCTAACATCCGACCCGAGCGGTATCCAGTCAGTACATTACCTTAAGAAAATAAGTGATCATAAAGTTATCCTAGCGTTTTTTCACACAGTATTTCAGACAGAAAAACCAGTAGCAAAACGAATAAGACTTTATGACAAGGGAAATTACGAAAAAATCACGGCTGAGCTACAAAGCTTCATCTTTTCTTTTGAAGAAGGTTTCCATGACCGCTCTGTAGATCACAACTGGAATTTGTTTTCGGAGAAAATTCAAGAATTAACTGATATATATGTTCCAACGGTAAAAATTAAAAGTAAACAATCGGCACCGTGGTTTTCTGGCTCAATTAGCAAAGAAATACGCAGAAAGAAGCGACTGTTTAGAAAAGCCAAAGCCAGGCATAGTCCGTCCGCATGGCAGGCATATCAAGGCTCAGCAAAGAAGCTAACGAAAACAATTCGTATTGCCAAGCGAAATTTTTTTGAGACAACATTGCCTAATATGCTACAAACTAATCTAAAACAATTTTGGAAAGCTATAAACCCTCTCCTGCCACCCCAATAAGATTGTATAACGATCAAAACGTAGAACTTAGCGATAGTGAGACAGCCGCAGTACTCAACGTGGCGTTCTCCTCAGTTTTCACGAAAGAAGCCAGCATGAGCACCCCCATTTCCTCGGATCTGGTCATTAATGAACAAATGCCCCCGATAATATTTACAGCTCAAGGAATAATGAACATAATTAATAAAATGAAACTATCATCTGCTACGGGACCGGACGGAATCAACTCTAAAATACTGAAAAATTCCAAAGAACCAATTAGTGCCATGCTCGCTTTGCTATTTTCCCAATCATTAACGTCAAGCTGTATCCCCATTAAATGGAAGCTAGGTAAGATTGTTCCGACCTTTAAAAGCGGCAATAGGTCCTCACGGTTGAACTATCGCCCCATTTCAATTACGTCCGTACCATCAAAAATATTGGAACATATAATTTTTTCGCACATCAATAATCACCTCGAACGCCATAACATTCTCTCCACATCGCAACATGGTTTTCGCAAGGGGCTGTCCTGCGAACCGCAGCTTGCTTCATTTACACATCATTTGCACTTAAACCTTGACAGAAACATCCAAACAGACGTAACTTTCCTAGATTTTGAAAAGGCATTCGACAAGGTACCCCACTGTCGCTTAATGTATAAACTATCACTGCTGAATCTTGACCCATTTGCACTTAATTGGATCGAAAACTTCCTCCTAGAACGAAAGCAATTTGTCGAAATAAATAGCGCACAGTCTACCACAGCACTCGTTCTGTCCGGTGTACCACAGGGTACAGTACTCAGGCCGTTGCTATTCTTAATTTAAGTTAATGATCTACCGTCTGACATTTCTAATAACATTTGCCTATTTGCGGATGATTGTGTGTTATATTCCAAAATTACAGGTAAGCAAGACCAAATTAATGTACAATCTGATCTTTTTCGTATTGAAAATTGGTGTAAAACTTGGCAAATGTCCTTAAACGTACCAAAATGCAAACTAATGTCATTTTCCCGGCGTGCATGCCCATTATTTCACAATTACACCCTTAAAGGCTCTTCATTACAATCCACAAAAGAGTACAAGTACTTAGGCGTCCATATCACCAACAATCTATCTTGGACAGTACACGTGTACAAAGTAATCGCCAGCGCCAGTAGATCCCTCGGGTATCTGCAGCGCACGATGAAATTTGCTCCTTCAGACTTAAAATTGTTGGCCTATAAAACCCTTATCCGTCCAAAACTAGAATATGCAGCCGCTATATGGGACCCGCACCAACGTTACCTCATCGACAACATAAAAGCCATCCAAAACCGGGCTATTAGATTTGCTTTCTCTGATTTTTCTTCATACACTAGCGTCACAAATCTCAAGTCGCGCGCGTCCCTTCCTCCCCTCAACAACCGTCGGAAACTAGCAAGGCTGGCATTATTCCAAAGGTTTCATTACTCATTATCACCAAACTCCTACGTCATGCCAAAATCGCATGTATACACTCGCACCAAAAACGAACATCAAGTTTCATACCCCCGCCCACGAACTAACACTTTCGCGCAATCCTTTTTTGTTCGGTCAGCCAAAGACTGGAACAATCTTCCCGCTCACGTGGTACAGACCAAAGACCTTGACCAGTTTAAATCGCTGCTTACCGCGCCCGGAATTGTGTAATATCCTCATGTCGTTTTTATGGTTCCCGTTTTTCTGACTATAATTGTTGTCAGTGCAGGCGAAGTAATGGAGCGTTGCCTTCTGAAATCATATTGTTTTCTGTTTTTACCAAATTTATAGCTACCTAGCTCATTGCCGTTGTTTGCATTCTGACTTGTATGATTGCACCATTGTACTGCTGTAAAGCGCGGTTATCCAAGCTGTTTAAACTCTGATTGGTCCCAATGTAAAACATGTAGCGTGTCCGGCCATGTAGTTTCTTTTATGCTTCTTCACTCATTTATTGTTGTAACGGTCTTGTATATAGTTATGTTGGTAGCACACCTCCCCCCCCTCCTACCCTCGTTTTTTGTTCTAGTCTGTCACTTGTACCACCCTTTATGTAATGCCTTCTTCTAGGAGGCCCTTGAGGTATGAAAATAAATAAATAAATAAATATGTACTGATCAGTAGGAAACATCCCAGAATTCTTTTCACAAGCTTCACCATTTATTCATACAATATATGTAGGAGTGGCTCCCATCGTTGAAATAACACCATGAACTCAACAAACACATCTGCAACATTTCAAAGAAAGATTGACTTGGGAAGTAGATCCTTTTTCATTAGATTTTCTTTCAGGCACCTATAAATATTGCCACCCGCT